ATATAGTTATGGAGGAAATTAGTCCCAATTCTGTTTGTTTTGGTTTTTAAATAAACAAACGTTGTATTCAATTTGATTATTACACTGGTACAAAATGCCAAAACAGTTGGATCTTTCGTAAACATGGGTCAATGGTTGGCAAAGGTTTAGCCACCGACGGCGCAAAGTAGACGAAACCTTTATAGACCCATCGTCATCTACCCAGCTCAACATTCACCTGAGTTTTGTTTAGATTTAAAAATAAGATATTTTGAAAAATAATTTTTAAAAATAAGATATTTTTAAAAATAATTTTTAAAATAATTTTAATTATTTTTAATTAAATTAAATAAAATTATCTTTAATGAAATTATACGTCATGATGTTACTCATCATGTTCAAAAAATATATTATACACTATGGTTAGATTGTTACATGTCATGTTAAAAAAAAATACTATTGTTATATATTATGAACAAAAACGTGTTACATGCCATAATTAGATTGTTACACGTCATGTTAAAAAAAATACTATTGTTACATGCTATATACAAAAACATGTTACACACTATAGTTAACAAAAATTGTTACACGTCATGTTGAAAAAAATATATTATTATTATACGTCATGTTAAGAAAATATTGTTGCACGTCGTATTCAAAAACATTTTGTTGTACTTTAATACTTAAAATGTTATTATTATTTACAAATCAAAATTTTAAATCCTCTCAACTTTTTTTTTTTTGGATAATTTTACACGGATTAAAGTGTTTCTAACATGTTTCACAAATCAAAACACAAATTTTCTTATCTAAACACCTATTTTGACTAAAAATCGAAAAAAAAATTTTGAAAACCTAAGTTTATAAATTTCAAATTCTTGAGTTTGTTAATATTTAGGTCCGAAATTGATCTAATTAAAAACTATTTTAAACATCTATGACCATTTCTACAGTTTTAATTTTATCCAAAATACCTAAAAATCAAAATTTTTAAATAACCACTCACTCAAACACATCAAAACTATCGCCTGGTGTCTTGAAAGTACCAAAAAAAAATCTAAAAGCACAGTAAAGAGAAATCGAGAGCTAAGCATAGCAGATGAATGTCAAAAAGAGAAATTGATAAAATTAAAGAGAGTGGGATGGTGAAAGAGAGAAATCGAAAGTACAAATGGAGAAAAATTATGATGAATGGCTTAATTTATTAAAAATAATTTTAAGGATATTTTTGACAAGTTATGGTTAAATAGAACTAAAATAGTTAAATTTATTTTGATGGTTATTTTTGAAATACCCTTATCAAGAAGGGTTATTCCTCATAATTTCCTCTTAAATTAATAAACCTCCAAAAGCATTTATTTTTTCCTTTGATTTGTCTTTAACCCACATGACAACAAGGTTAAGTTGGCACCAAAATAGATTATATATTTCAGTAAATTTTTTTTTAAAAAAAGAAGATTGGGTTTTAGTTGTTTATCGGTCTTTATTTACTATAATAACTTGATCAAAAGAAGGAAAACATTTCCATCCTTTTACGTTTTTTGAAGTCCTTTCTGATTTCCTTTTCAAAAGAATTTGGAATTCCACAAGGTGATTATACATGGCAGATCTCTCCTTACATAAAAACTTATTTATGTTTGTATTTATTTGACATTCTAGTTCTTCCGTTACTTGTTCAACAAAATATGATGCAATCAATTTACTAGCTTGAACCATATCCTAACATTTTTTCTAATCAACAATTTCACTTTCGAACCTTTATCTACGTATGCATCATTGAAAATTAAGAAGTACATATACAGCTCATCTTCTAGATCGGCAAAGCAATTAGAAGGTAAGGAAAAGAAAAGAGACCTCACATATAGTCGTCGATTGTGAATAATTTAGCCTATAAATTCATATTAAGCTATTAACTGACCAACCTGTTAGAAGGAACTCAAGAGTTGGACACCTCACATTGTGTTTCTGGGTCATTACTCATTGATCAATTCAGAGATTGTAAAGCTCTTGACCACTTCATATTTATTAATTGTCAATTGATTTTCCATGCAATTTACTCTGAGCTTGGAATGTCGGTAGCTCATGCAGACAACACGTCATAGTCTCTGCCTATATATAAAGAGTGATTGTTATCTCTAAACGATACTCGAAAAAAGGTTTAAAACGTGGTCTAATTGGCTTGTATATTATATTTTCTATCAGATTAATTCATTTTAAAAATGAATAAGAAATTTCATTTAATTTTCAAGATATAATAATGCAAACGATCGATACCCGAAGTTTCTTAACATGTATCTAGAACAATTTGAACACGAAATCTAGTACCTGCATGCAGGCCTTTAAACAAATGACAAAAAAAAAAATATTCTGTATTCTTATTGTTTTTCTAAATGAAATGTATTTAATATGATTAAACCAATATAACTTGATTATAATCTCATATTATACGATTCCCACGACGTCGAAAAATCTACTCTCCTACTTAAAAAACAAAAGAAAATGATGGGAAGCAACCGGCCGGGCATTGAAGGGTGGATTGCGGTCTTTTTAGGTTTTGGGAACACCAATGCGTTAGTTCAAGTGTTTAATCCCAGAAAACATAAGCATATGACTGATGACTGGTTCAACATTAGCAAAAGGTCCAGGCACGGGCAGCTGTGTTGGGCTTCAATTACATTTAAAAGTCTTTGTGGATAACCAAGACGAATTAATAGATGGTTTTTCCAGAAGATAGAGACTTTGCAATTGAGAAAGGCTTGAGGGTGACATTTTTGCTGTAAAGTTTCAACACTCTGAGATGTGCTATCACGTCATCCTACTTGATTTTGGTTGAAATAAACTGATAACTTGATGAGTTTAATTCTAAGGATTGAGTTACTTAAAATTGTATTATTGCGAGTTGAAAGTACACATAATCGACAATAAAGCTGATGTAGTACATATATATAATACAAGAAATATATGAAAATGATTGTTAAAAATGATCATATTTTGTTACAGATCAAATTTCAAATACTACAACGACAAAGGTGATAAATACTCATTTTGTCAAACTTACTTTTCAATAAAGCTCAAAAAGTTGAGATCAAATATCTCTTTTTTTAAAATTAAAAAAAATAGAATGAACTTATAAAAGATATTAATAATTTTTTTGACACAATATTTGAAAAAGTCCTAAACTATTTAAAAAATTTTAAATAAATTATTATTCTTTAATTGCAATCAATCAAGTCTTTTTTTTATTTTAAACCAAGTAGGTTTTTATAACTAACAGTTAATTAATTGTCATTACTTAAAATATTATTTATTTTTTTATACTGACATGATAAGCGTGGAAGGTGCAAAATGTTACATAATTATGTTATCTTTTAATGTAACACGTTAGTATATCACATCAAAGTTACATGATATAAAATAATAAGTAGTATTTTAATTAATGATAATTAATTAATTATTAATTAAATTTATTTCATTTAAACTAAAAGTATAAAAATTTGATTGAAAATAATAAAAAAATAAAAAATTAGTTGAATTTTCTTAAATAGTTATAAAAATTTTGTTTTTAGTATTATGTGTTTTTTTTTTCTTTTTTATGAAAAAGTAAGTAATTTGGGGCTGCATGATTTTTTATTTAAAGGTCAATGCCCGAAGGCCTAGAGGCTTTTCAGGCAGTCTGGGTATTTACTTTTTGTCCTAACCCGAATCATTAGGCTCAAACTTTGCCCATTTGCAGTGCCATCAGTAATCAAGTTTAAGGGCTCAGGCCCAATTAAAACGTACAAATGGTGGGGTCAAGACTCGGGCATTATCAAATTAATCATGGCACCTGGTCCCAGCCCATAGAAAGGCTTTTGAGCTCTAAAACTGAGGACAACCTGTCCTAAAAGTTGGATCCAGGCAGAGGCCTTGTTCAGGCCCACATAATTATTCATTTAGCACCCAAATAAATGCCATCAAATATAACAGCTGGAGTGCTAACCAAGAACCATATGTTTAATTAATTGGCAGTAATAATAACCGGCTTCCATGGTTTAATGGAATTTCAGAAAAATGAAATTGCTTTTTTTTTCTCTCAAGAAAAAAAAAAAACCAACACAAGTAACACATTAAAGAGAGATTAGTGGCCATAATTATGAATCAGAATATGACTTTATTATCAGTAACTAATAAGCATAGTTTGGATTAAAACATCTATAACGTGATTTGTACGTCCATTTCTTCCTCTTTTCTTTAATTAATTCAAAATCAATGGTTAAACTAATAGGACTTTAGTTTTTTTTTTTTCTCTTTTCTCCTGTCAATGATATAAAAATGCTCAGTAAAACTGAAAGAAGACTACCCATTAAACGAGTGGCACCTTCGAAATTGTCTACTTTTTATTACAAAATAAATTCCCATTAATGTAAATATAGCTAACAATTTTAAATTGTGCTAATTATTTGGAAATTTTGGAACAAGGGTACCAGAAGAAAGCAAAGCAATAAATAGAAGGGGAAGAAGATGCAAGCAAGCAATGTGGTGTAGAGTCTTATGATAGTGGAACAATAGGGGTCCATATGCAAATTCCAGCCTCGGTCCGAGTCTTATAGCTTGAGTCACAAGTGTGTAAAAAAGCCAAATCTTGTATTATATATGTCAGGCAGGCCATTGCTGGCTAGCTATCAAAATGATAATTAAAAAAAGTGAAAGGTGTAAAGGGAAGATTAGGAGGGAAAAGAAAGCACAGAGAAAAAGAAATTAGTGATGTTGTGATGCATCTCTCAACTGTCTACAATGCCCCACGACGAAGCTATCATTGTGTTGCTATACACTTTTCTTTAACCACGTACCATAAAGGAAAAAAAAGAATACCTATGCTGAACACTCACAAACTAAGCTCCTATAAGAGAATCAAAGGAAACTCAGTTCAGGTTTCCGCTTTTGTCGCCTTGTATTTTTATAGTTGGTCACAATTCTTATGGCAGTCTCCCACAGAATTCTCGGTCAATCTCATGCACTGAAATTAGTCCGCCTCGTAATTTCCGTGTCCGCCGCCTTCTCCAATTGCTAGTGGCCGCAGGTCCTGCGTCACCAATGATGATGTTCTCTCTGAATTCCTTGACACTCTCTACGTGTCCCTGATTTAATTTTGCCTGACAAGGTCTTCCCTAGGCAAAAGTTCATTGAAAACCCACCAAAGATTGATTTCCACTTGTTGAGTTCCATGGAAAGTGATTCTGTCCCCAAGATTCTGGATTCTATTGCAACAATCGGATGCTTTCAGTTGGTGAATTATGGAATTCCAGGGGAATCTATCCGATCAGCCCTGGCAGCGGCTGCCGGAATTTTTCAACTGCCTCCGGAGAAACGGACGGCAGTGACAAGGTCACCAGAGAAGTTATACGGGTTTGAGGAAGTTCAGGGGGAAGAGGAAGGAAAACAGAGTGAAGAGTTTGTGTGGTGTAGAGGTGAAGGCTTGAGTTGGAAATGAGGGGAATTTGGGCTGTTGGGTATTCAAATTTCAGGTAATAACTGCCAAGCTTATATCCACTTGTCTTTTGGCGTTTCCTAATTGAGTTTTGGCAGTATTGAATATATATATATATAGATATATATATATATATATATATATATTATATTTCCGAACTTGTTCTTACTAAAAAATGAGTAACAGAATTATCTAATTCATTGATACTTTTAAACATATGCAGTGAGAAAATGGAAACTCTTCTGTCTGACATTGAGAAAGTTGCTGAGAAAATTCTGCTAGTCGTCAGGGAAAGTTCCCTACAAAAATCAGTTTATGAAAACGATATGATGCAAGGGCAAGATATCATTGGCTCTGCATGTTATCTCTACAAGCATAGCCGGAATGTTTCAGCTGACCAGTGGAGCAGCTCCCTAAGATATGATGTAATCAGAATGCTGATAAGAGGGATTGATTATTCACATGCCTTGTGTTTGCATATATGTGATGAATCTTCTGAATTTCATGTGTATTCAAAGAAAGGTTGGGTGTCTTTCTGCCCAGAAAAAGATGCCTTGGTTATAACAGTCGGGGATCAAACTCAGGTAATAATTCAGATATTGTCTTAAATTATTTTGAGCTTCTATTTTGGACCACATTATGCTTGCTGCAATTTTTGCCAGTTAACTGCAGAACATTGAAGGACTGTATAAGTATAGTGGTTAAAGAGTGTTCGTCATCAGCCAGGTTATTTCAGGACAGGCAATCCTCTCTCATCCCTTTTAACCATTTTAATGCTGATGGTTAACTCAAATACATGATTTCAATCTCCCTCAAAGGAAGGAGGTAGTCTTTATGGTGGCTGTTGATGACCAAAAAATAGTAACATTATTGTGTCTGCTTTATGGGACAGCATTATGCTGGATGATAACACCTTATCAACAAAAAAGCTCAGCAAACTACACTGTTTTTTGCCTGTTTTGTTGTCCTCTCT